GCTACATAGGACAAAGAAACTAAAAGAATCATGTCAGGTATATCTTATCGCCCTAACGGCAGTACCGACAACCCAGCACTGTGCCTGCATCGGCACTCGCAACCCAGCACGGCGTTACATACAGGGTACGTGCGTTATTGCTCAATGATCCCTCAGCATTCAAACTAGACAGATGTACGCTCTTTGACTTGTCCGGCAGGCACATATTGAAAATATATCTCTATCGTTCAAGATTTTATGAGAAATGTGGTATATGAAATATGCTTGATAGGTGCGTAGAATTATCGGGGCTGGAAACGTGTAAAATGCTACCACCAAAAATTGACATATACGAGCCCCTTCCCACTTCAGTTGGCCCACTTCAAGATTTGAACCAAAATATGCCTTTATAAATATGACGAAACTATTTACTTCTACAACAATTTTCTTCCTCAAAAACATTTTAGATACACTCTAGTCGTAAAAAATACATATTTGAAATCACTTAGATCTGTAACTAATAGAACATCTGAACATATAAACAATGTGCGAATAAATGCGCGAAGTTAACAAACCAACAATTGAAAGATAACCATTGGGTAACATCACCTTTATTTTTCATTACGGCTGAAATCCTTTGGGGCATAGTGTTAACCAAGTTTTGGCAAAAATTTGGTGTAAAACAATCACATATTCCTTGAAGCTTTTGTCTCAGTTCGGTGATTGTCCGAGCAGGATGTTGTCGTAGAACCTTTTGCATCTCATGCCACAAAGTTTCATTAGGTTACAGATCTGGACTGCTAGAAACCCATTTCAAAAGTGGTATATTATTTTCTTCCATCCATTTTATAGCTTTTTTTGAGGTATGGCACGCTGCATCATCTTGCTGAAACACAATCTTCTCCGAATGTCAAACATTCTTCCACCACTGGTACAAGCGATTCTTCTAAAATTGCCAAATATTTGTTTGTGTCCACATCTCCATCAACAAAATGAAGTGTTCCTACTCCTTTTGATGACATACTGTCCCAGACCATATTGGATGCTGGAAATTTCACTTTTCTCTTCAGACAGTCAACATGGAATGCTTCATTTTTTTTGCGAATAACTCTACTGCGACTGTCACCAACACAAACTTTGAATCGGGCCTCATCACTCCATTGTATTGCACACCATTGTTGAGGTGTTCATTGTCTATGTTCTTTAGCCCATCTAAGCCGATTTTTCTTTTGCAGTGGAGTTAATAGTGGCTTTTCTTTGGCCTATAAACAAGTTGTGCAACTTTAGGGTTTTTACTTCAGTTTTTTTATAAGAAAACTTACCTTGCAATTGATAAATCCCAGTTTGTGGGCCTCTCTACGAGTTGTGGACCTCGAAATTCTCCTTCCAACAGCGTCACTCCACAGAGCACCTAATTGTAAATAATTGTCACGCCTGTTTTTTACGATTATTCTTCTTAATGCTCTTCGGTCGGCATTTGTGATATTACTTTTTTTCACATATCGTGGCTCAATATTAGCTGAACCAGATACGTTATATATTCTAACAATATTTCTCACACTGTACCGCGATAAGTCTAACAAAGCTGCAATTTCTGAGTTTGATTTCCCAGAATTAAAAAATTGAATTATCAGTAACCGAATTTTCTCACTAATAACCTTCCCTCTACCCATTTTGAAAACCTTAACTACCCAAAACTATTTTAAGCGTATTTTGACAGCTGTGATTAATAAAAACAATTGTCATGGCTTTTATTTTTCACAGCCACCTATGCGTTATAGACTTATTTTGCATTGAAGCCAAAATAGGTTGATATGCTGTAATTGCAACATGTGTTATTTTTATGCTGCAAATTTGATTAGGGAGTGATAAAGTTGGTGTTTTCTTCTATATGTATATTATAAAAATCTTTATTGTTAATATTTTAAACCCATAACACCCTACATTTTTATTATTTGTGTTTGATAAGAAAAAAACTAAGATTTCCATAGTTGGGCCAACTGAAGTGGGAAGGGGCTCGTACTCTGCCCCCTCCAACAATCAACTTCCAATTTTTAACCGCTGCAAAAATTTGTCTGAAAATAATGAGGAACGTCAAAGAATGAAGTTTGAGAAACTTTTATTTTTTTTGTCCTTTTTTTGCCTGTAGCTCCGCTGCTACCTGACAGATTTTCAAAAGCTACTAAGCTTTTTCGTCCTTGGCATAGTAGTACACTTTTGAAAAAATAATATCAAAATCCTAGAGGTAGCTCCCAACTTATAGACGGGAGAAGAATTCGCGAACAGACAGACTGACGAAAATGAGTGATGTGGTGTTTCGCATTTACAGCGGCGTAGGAAGTAGAAATCACATAATTTAAATTACCGTTAAGCCTTTATTGCACTGCCAAATTACACCAAAACTACAGAGCCCAAATACTCTGCTGTACGACCCGTGATATTACTGCACCCCCAAATTATTTAAGCGTTGTAATATAATTCATACAATCTTTGCTTGGAGACAAATACGTTTCGTTTTAGAAGCACTTATATACTTATCTGGGGCTAAAAATAATAAATTATACAGACACACTGAAATAGTAACAAACACGTGTATTTAATCCCCGTCTGTACAACAAGTGCAATAAATATTTTACGAAGCATGACATCATTTACGCTTTATATTAAATTCAAAGCGTATTCCTAGAATACTATATTAGTGTATAATAGAATGCGTTCCATCGATACAAGTTACTCTCCATGATAAATAGTTAACATGAAATAGTATACTCATTGTTTATTAGAGTAGCTTCAATATCACACAAAAGCAAGATAAAGGCATTCCTCTAAAGCAGTGGTCGCCAACCTTTCCAGTGTGTTGATCTACTTTGACAATTTTGGAATACACAGTGAGCTGCCTAGTCGTAAGCAACATAAGCCAACTTAAATGAAATTATACAAAGTTGCATTTGACATAAATGTGTTTATTTTACTAATACTAATACATACTACTAAAATTAAATAACCTAATAACTAATACATACTACAAAACTACCTCCATTCCTGCGATCTTTACGACATAACCCCACGAGACTCTTATCATGACTCACCATAGCAGAAGCGCCATCGGTTGCCAAGCCTACCAATTTCGTTATGGGAATTTTCTCAGAAGAAAGAATATCCTTAAACGAAGAAAACAAGTCTTGTCCAGTAGTCTGTTCTTTTAGTGGAATAAGCTTCAAAAGATCTTACAGATCGTAAAATCATTAAAAACCATCCTGACGAACACGATCAACTGAGAGGTGTCAACGACATCTGTCGATTCATCCAGCTTCAGTGGAAAATAAGCACAGTTATCGAAGTTATTTTTTAACTGTAAAACTATATCATTGCTCATTACATCTACTCGTCTCATCACTGTATTAGCAGAAAGTTGCATGGATTTTATAGCAGACACTATCTCGTCTTTATTTCTAAAATGGCAAATAATAAATCTGCAGCTTCTAAAAACGCCTGTTTTATCATTTCCCCGTGTTCATAAGGCTTCTCCTTTTTGTGTAATTATCTGCTTCAGTTGCAGCCGTACTTTTGTCAATTGTCAAGCGAACGCAAAGGTTTTGGTCTATAATAGCCTGATTTTTCTGGATGTTTGTAAAATAAAATAAATTTTGTTTCATTTTCCCAAAATGTATGGTAGTGGCGTAATAACTCAAAAGGGTTTATTCGATTTGATTTGATTACCAAGTGTCTGGTCTAGATATTTACAGTAGATCATCCCTAGTGTTATAAAACTCACCTGTTATAGGAAGTTGAAACTTTGTTTGCTGTCTGTCTCTGTAACAATTACCAACTGCAGACAGCGCTGCTTCGGGCTCACTAGCAATCCATCAGGTCTAATAGTCCTGGAGAGGGTAAACGAAAAGCAAACAAGCGGGTTTGGTCAATTAAAATACGCAAAATGCGGAAGTAGGTGAGAAATGTGACAATCTCTACCTATGAATGGTTCGCTAAGTTGGTTATCATCCTCATTCTATACGATGAAGGTGACTCCTATTCACAGAGCGCACCAACAATGCCAAGCTGATCCACAGTTTCACCCCATGTAATTGTCGCCGTCTTCTATCACCATCATCGTAAATTACTTTTCTAGCCAAATGCAATTTCCCCGATCAAATTTACCAATCCTTTAATGAAGATTCGCTAAAGCTGTCAGATGAATACAGAATTCTTACTTAAGTCTCTGGAGCATATAAATGTAAGTAAAGATGATAATCTTTTTCTTTCTGAATGTGAAAATACCTTCAGATTAGGCTACCAAAGAAAAATCTACAAGAACAATCCAAGCAATAGAAAGAGTAATTTTGCAAAAGCGTGTATATAACATCCCTCTAACAGAACTCTTCTCTGCTCGCTGAATGAAACAATACAAGGTCTGTAAATTGAGAGATGAGTCTGGCAACGTAGCGTTCGATCTGGCAACTCTGGAGGCGCTGTGCTTGGAGGGGCGACAGGGGAATATGTGATCCGCCTTCAGTACAAGTTTGAACTCGCTCGAGTTGTTTGGCTGCCCGTAGCTTTTCTTTTCGAGGAACACTTATTTCTATTGTGTTTTAAAAATGCGTGTCATCAATTTCAAGAAACTGTGTGCTATCAGGTTTTGCTTCAAACCTGGGCACAGTGCAACAGAAACTCTTGCTAAACACAGCAGGCCTACAGAGATAGTTTTTTCTCCAGATTCCAGGTTTTTCGGTGGCTTGGGGCATTGTCAGAAGCGGAAGGTCTTCATAATACTCTGATTAGATTTCAACTTTTCTTTTATAATGTCATTACATATAAGTTCGAAATGTTTAATCTCGTAAGCTGTTGTTGAGAAACCAAACGTTTTTTTTATACTCCAACTACCACGAAGGCCTAAGGCCTAATCATCCATTGGGTACCGTTGGGCTATAGGGGGATACATGCTGCATGCACACATTCTGGCTCCGCCTACGAGATCCGCCAGGTGGTACCTCCGCGATCGACAGTCAGAGACCGTCTACCACCTACGGACAATCACAACATCCATAGCCAAGAGAAAAATTTCTCCTGGGACGGGATTTGTACCCGCACAGCGCGCGACGACTGATCAGGAGACCGAAGAGTCTACTACTGCGGCCAGCGCTGCTGCCTGGTTTACGGATGTAGTGTTGACCTCTGGATAAAATGGTGGTCTCGCAATTATTTAAGGTTGATTATTTACGGAATATAGTAGCATCAAATTTATTTTTTTGACTTATTAGTGCAACTTTAGATGTTTAATTAATCATAGTCTCGCCATGAATCTTTTAACCAACCCACTCGCAATATACTTTCTAACATACTCAATTTGAGATAAAATACTTTTAATCCAATGACCAGATGGGTGGAAGTCGCTTCTAATTCGGGTCATCTATTATTAAGCCGCTTGTGCTGTAGCCCGTGACATATATACTAAGTGACATATAAATCCGAACCCCCAGTTTAAATGGTTCTATTTTAATAAAATTTTGAATAAGTACTTAATGAAGCATAATAAGTAAATGATAAAAATTTCAAAATGATTGCACTGCTTTAAGTCCCTTTGATCTTTAATAATGTGTGGATGCACCCTGATGTGCTACGCATTCCCCAACGCGCCTAGGCATGCTTCTGATCAGGTGGTCAATGTCCTCCTGTGGTATCTCATTCCAGGTAACCACCAACTCCTCTCGAAGTGCTTCTAGAGTCTGAGGAGGACGTTGCAAATTGAGCAATCTCCTACCCAACATATCCCACACGTGCTCAATTGGGGATGTGCCGGGAGATCTTGGTGGCCATGGTAACAATGTGACATCATTATGTTGAAAGAAGTCTATTGTAACCCTTGCAACATGTGGTCGGGCATTATCTTGTTGGAAAGTTGGATCTGCCAGGGTGTCAAGATATGGTAACAGATGGGGTTCTAGAACTTCGTGGATATAACGCTGCGCGTTCATGTTACCTCTGATGAAGATTAAAGGTGACCTGGAACCATAAGCTATAGCACCCCAAACCACAACTCCAACAGTGTGATGAACATGTCTTTCAACAAAAAACTGTGGATTCCTCCTTTCACCGCGTCGCCTTCTAACCCTGGCACGACCATCGTGCATGCCTAAACAAAATCGAGACTCGTCACTAAAGACAATACTGTTCCATTCCTGATCCCAGAGTGACCGTTGTCTGCACCACTCAAGGCGATTACGTCGGTGTTCTCGAGTTAAAGGGAGGACCCAGTGTGGCCGGTATGAAAACAAGCCAAAGCTTCTCATTCGTCGGTAACCACTTCGCATGCCAATAGGTCTTCCGTGTTCTGCAAACCATTCATTTGCAATGGACCTGGTAGTGGAGAAACGATCCCTTAAGACCAATAATCTTAGGCGGCGATCTTGACGGTCTGTTGTTCTACGGCGGCGTCCAGTGCCCCTTACTCTTTGTGTACGGCCTTCTTGAAGCCATATCTGACAACACCTAACCACAGTGTCTACACTTCTTTGCACTCTAACTGCAATTGCCCGAAAAGAAAGTCCAGCTTCCCGGAGTCCCACTATACGGCCCCTATCAAACTCACCAAGTTGACGAAATCGTAAAGGTCTCCGTACTCTAGGCATCGTAACCGATCGTAAAGGATGTCAAGAACCAAAATCCGCCAACGTTGATTCTTTACTGCGGCTGAAATATTCATTTTTAGAGCGTTAGTGAATTAAAAAAAAGCAGTATTAAAACCGGAATGTCCAACTGATAAGGCTGAAAATTTTTTCACTTGTTATTTACAGTAAGATAAATAAATTCACCAACTTTTATTAAAATAAAACCATTCAAACTGGGTGTTGGGATATCTATGTCACTTAGTATATATTCTAAAGCTATTTTCAGAGATTACCTTCCATCTGATTGTGTTACAAACATCCACATTTTCTCATGTACAATACGAAATAAATTTCTAACTTACAATATTACATAGTGGAGATCCATGAACCGCAACATAAATAAATAAAAACATCGGTAGCGTTGGGATATCAATCGATATAAACACACGGTTAAATGAAGGGGAACACCCTTCACGAGCTTACTCTGTCTGAGCCTAATTTACAAGCTTCCAGCACAGATTTCGTTCCCTTTTAGCGTGCAAATTACATCGCTGCAACGGCACAACACGGCATCATCCCCAATATTCGGATGCGCATCTGTTTCCCGGAAAAGTTAAGCCTGGAACTGTCGATGCTCATCTAGTTCACTCAGAGTATACAAAGTGAGTACTGAAGTCACTCTACGGTCAAACCAGCCTGTTTCTGTTGCGTACTATTACTGACGTCTCATGGAAACCCTTCACTAAAACCTCGATGTCCCTTACCTAAGGGACTACACCAAGCAACAGGCATAGCGGTGCTGTAGTGAAGCGGAATCGCAAAGCAGCCCTCTGTTGCACAAGTCAGTGTACTACACAGTGGAGCAAGTTCGCAAGCACAAAGGGTCGGGGCTCGCTCGATAATCAAAATAGATTCGTGGATTAAGAACAACCAAGATTAGACCACTACCTAAACGCTCTACAAGATTCTCTTCTCTTCCTATGAACCGCTATTACAACCAATGATGAACAGTATCTTTCTACTAGTTACCGACCGAATATTCGGTTTAGGTTTTGGCCAGATTCGTTGCAAAATTTGAGTTCGGCTGAGTTTCGTCCTACAAATGGAACCAAAACTGCCTTCGGGCGCCTTCATAAGTGGTTGGGCTGTCACCACAATCTTACTAATTTTTATAATCTAATCTAAAACGTTTTCAAATTGGGTAATTAACAAATAAATGGTATTAAATTTTTCTAAGTTGAGCCAAAATTTGTAATTAGTAAGTAAGTTTCATTAAATTGAATATTTAAAACACACATGACAATAGCGCGTCGTCATCACTCTTATTGAACCGGCAATCGATCACAAACGGTAACAGTGGTTAGTTATCGGGCATCGGGGGTGTTTTGTTTTTGTTCGCGTACGTCATCGCGTTTGTTTACAATGTTCTCGAATCAAGAGTTCGCCGTCATGTTTTTAGTTTACGGTGAAGCTCGTCAGAATTCAAATCTTGCAGCTCAAATTTATTGCGACAGATTTCGCCAACGGATGCACCCAGACAGAAGGACATTTGTGCAAGTGTGCCAAAGACTTCGAGATACAGGAAGTGTTCAGGCCACTAATATTCGCACTCGTGAAAGACAGGTTACTGTAGAGCAGGAGGAACAAATCTCAAATATCGTGAAACTCAATGCAGATATCAGCACTCGGGAATTAGGCTGCCGCGTAAGACTATCGCATACCATAGTCCATAGAATCCCACGGGAAAATTTGCTTTATCCCTACCATGTACAGTGCAGGCCTTGCTACCAGAAGACTATCCTCGCAGACTAACATTCTGTCAGTGGTTCTTGCACAAAAACATTGAAAATCCGGATTTTTCTAAAAACATTCTAGCGACAGACGAATGTACTTTTACGCGAGACTGGATATTAAATTTCCATAATACTCATACGTGGACTCAAGAAAATTCTCATACCATTCGTGAAGGTCATTTACAAAAACGTTTTAAAACAAATATTTGGGCGGGTATTCTTGACGATCAGGTAATTGGCCCTTTCGTGTTACCCCCAAACTTGTCAGGAGGAGGATACCATAGCTTTCTAGCCAATAACCTACCAGAACTTTTGGAACACACCTTAGACGACATGCCATTACAACGGAGACAGAATTTGTGGTTTCTTCATGACGGGGCACCACCACACATTTTTAGTGGCGTCATTCTGTATTTGAATGAACATTATCCAAATCGCTGGATCGGTCGAAATGCTCCTGATCCTCGAAAATGGCCAACAAGATCTCCTGACCTCAATCCGATGGATTTCTGGTATTGGGAAGAGCTTAAAGTTTTAGGTTTATGGGGCTGCTCCAATAAGAACTGAAGCAAAACTTCGCGAAAAAAAATTTAATGAGGCTGAAATAATAAATGGATAACTTCGAGGACCTAGAGTAATAAGAAACTGGCTTCGTCGTAATGAAGCTTGTGTGGAAAGTGGAGGACGACATTTTGGACACCTTCTTTAAATACAAAAAACTGCGTTGTGGGTTTTAAAAAGAAAAACAACGAATGTATCAAAATTGTGTTCTCTATGTTCCCTATTTATAAGTGGATTTTTTTTAACACGTTCAATAAACTTTTACACACCAGGTGAAGCACTGAGACAGTTAGTGGTAAGTCCGTTTTTTGTAATTGTTAGCATTTTACGAGTACATGATCAAATAATGAAATAATACCTAAGAGCCAAAAATAACAAACTCCATATTTATTTACACTGCGTTCCGATTTTATGTTACTTTAAAGTCGCTTTTCTCTAAAAAAATGCCGTTTTGATCCCCATATTATATGAATTTTTTTGCTTCTTTTAGCCGCCTCTATCACCCATTTAAATAATGACTATCATAACGTTTACACCCTGTATATCATAGCTAAGTACGCTCAGGTGCAAATGCAACACAAGATTTGCAAAACCCTGTCGCACAATTTGATCTTTGAAGGCAATGAAAACGGTGTAATTAACAGGTAAACCAGTTTCAAATTGCTTTTTTAGGTTAATATGGTATTTGAGTTTAGTAGAATCGAAGTTTTAGATAACCTTCACCTTTTATCACTATTAATAACAGAAAACGTCCAAAAACTGTTGTATCAATGACGTCATACGTGTTCTACACTAACGCTGTTCCAGCAGAAGTGCTAGTGATGTACAAAATAATCGTATTAATCATATGCTTTATGGTTTATTATTGAAAATTATACTTAAGCATTGATATAATAAAACGTCACCTGTTTTAATCTGGACGTTTTGATAACTTTACGGTGTATACCCAAACTGTGAATCATCCATCATGAAGTCTACGAATTTATTATTTTAACGGCTGTAGAAGAAGCCACATACAAAGATATACTCGTACGTGTAATTCCATTTCCATACTATGGACAATTTTTTGGAAACCAGCGTATAAGCTAAGTGACATTACAAGTTTTACACCCTGAGAGAATAACTTCTTCAACTGGTTTTTTTCACAACATATTGACTATATTTGAAGTATGCTGTGGAAACAATATCAACGTTTTATCTTTGTTTTTGTTTACCTTTGTTACAATGTTATCTCTTAGTTTTGGGAGTAGACTACCTACTTTGCAGCATCCGCCACAGACTCTGCCACAGCAAATCCACGTTTGAGTTGCGTGGAATGAGGTGCCACAACCAGACATTTTGTCGATGCCTAGACATATACAGGAGTGTATTCAGCTGTGGGGTCGTCCAACACATCATTAATTTTTTTTCTTATTACTTATTAATAAAATTTCGTGAGAATGTTATCG